AAAGTCTTCTTGTTTCCCTTTATTCCTGTAGCTAGTTTGAGCTCATTTTGTGCCTTTGCCTTTCTAATCTTGCCCCTACATTCCTGTGTTGTTTGCCTATATTCATCCTTTGTAATTTCTCCTAGTTTCCATTTTTTATATGACTCCTTTTTTATTTTAAGATTATGCAAGATCTTTTGGTTAAGCCAAGGCAGTCTTTTGCCATACTTTCTATCTTTCCTACGCAGTGGAATAACTTGCTTTTGGGCCCTTAACAATGTCCCTTTGAAAAACTGCCAACTCTCCTCGGTTGTTTTTCCCCCTCAATCTTGATTCCCATGGGACCTTACCTATCAGCTCTCTGAGCTTAACAAAATCTGCCTTCCTGAAATCCATTGTCTCTATTTTACTGTTCTTCCTTCTACCCTTCCTTAGAATTGTGAACCCTATGATTTCATGATCACTTTCACCCAAGCTGCCTTCCACTTTCAAATTCTCAACCAGTTCCTCCCTATTTGTTAATATCAAATCTAGAACAGTTTCTCCCTGGAAGATTTTTCAATTATTAGTTTCATAAGCTATTATTCATATTATTGTTTAGTCTCAGAATCGTGGCGTAATACCCCATTGTGCTATGCACTATTCAAACACAGAGCTAAAGATGGTTTCTGTCCCAAAATACTTTGCAGTTTAAGAAAGAGAAAATAACTTCTTCATTTCTAATAATACACTTATGGAAGAATCTGCTACAGGTTGAAAGAAAATTATATAAATATCCATCAGTGGAATATCCTGCTAACCAGTGTAGACAACATGAAAATTTGGACCTATTAATTTGAATATTTCCAGTATTGTTAGAAATGAAGCAGGGTCTTGGGACCTCAAATATCAGTTTTAGGTGGGAGAAGTGTGTATGATATCACCATGGCTAAAAAGAAGTTAGTTAGTGCCAACTATCATAGAAGCTTTAGGGGTATGATAAATAGACCAAACTCACAAATTTAGTTCACACAGGTCATTAAACAGCAATAAGCTCTATCAGCAAATACGCTTTTCACCCACCACTGGTTGGGAGCAGCCAGGCACAGAGAGGTGAGAGGGAGGAGAAATGGCTGTGTTCCTGACAGTGCCCTGGCCATGGGACCAGTTGAGGGGTCACAAGGTATGTTGGGGACAGACAACATGGGACACATTGGACTGCCTGGGGGAATGTGTCACAGACTGGAGTTCAGAATGGCTAGTGCGGGAACAAACTAGGGTGGAAGCTGAATGGCACTGCAGGGCTATGGGAAGATGTC